TGTCTGTGTGTGTGCCCCACATTTTGTCCCGCACTTTCAACTCGGGAACCACAAAAGCTAGGCGGCCGAAATTTTGGGATAGTGTTCCCCGCCAATGGGTGACGCAGAAAATTTAAATTCAGCTTCCCCGAATCCGCGTGTAACACGTGCAGCCCCGTGAAAGTTTTTCACGGGCAAATTAATATCTCGGGAACCACGGAGTCTAGGAGGTTGAAATTTTAAGGTAATGACCTCTTGCCCACGCTCATCCTTGTCGGGAACCATGGAGTCTAGGAGGCTGAAATTTCAGGGTAATGACCCCCTGCCCACGCTCAACCTTGCCCATCCAAATTCAGCCTTCTCGCGCTCTCGGGTACCACCTACGGGCTAGTGAAAATTTTGGCAGGTAAACTATTAACTCGGGAAACACGGAAAGATATTCATCCTTCAAGGTTTCGAATTCAGCTTTCATGCGCTGGTGCGTAACATTTTTAACTGTTTTCCAGTGTTTGAACTATTTTGCATAGGCTTAAGTACAAAGCAGTGAAAATCATTAATAGGCAATCGTTCGATGGGCTGAATTGCACAGAACGCATGATTGCACCGGCTAGTCTGGTGCGCATTGTTATTTATTAATTTTCTTATGCGGACGCTAATTTTACGGACTTATGATTTAGGGATAGAGCTGACCCATCTAATTACCGGCCCATAACCTGCCTTAACACTTGCTACAAGCTAGTTAGCAGTGTTGTGAATAAAACTCGCATGGATCACGTCCAGAAGGGCAGTGCAATCCTGGACAACCAAAGAGCAATGCGCAAAGGGGGAGTGGGACTGCACTCACACCCACATTCTCAATCGGGCGGTGGTGCTGGACACAATGTCGCAGTTGAAATAAAAATCCCTGAACATGGCTTGGATCGACATCCAAAAGGCTTTCGAATTCCATAGAAGCCGAAAAATGCAATCGGGTAATAAGTTCGAAAAATTTTGAGAATTATAATTCTACACTCACCTGCTGCAGCTTATCTTCGATTGCTGAAGCGCCTATTAATGTTAGGTTAACTTCAATTCGTTCAGCACAAGCAGCCAACTTTTCGGCTCGTTTATCAATCGAAATCGATGCTTCTTCAAATTCTTTTGCCCAACCAACGTACTCCTCTTCCACCAGGTCACGTGACGCAAAACACAACGTTCGATAACCCTTTAAAAATTTAGAAACACAAAATTTTGATACATATGCAAAATTCTGATTCAGCAGAACAGTTGAAATTCCAATAAAAAATGCGATTGTAAAAGACACTGCATATTCAGTGTACAGACAGCCACCCAG